ACTTGAATGGTGAGAATCCAATATATTTCAAACCACAACAACTTGATCGGCGAGACTTGTGTGAATGACGATGGGAAGAGGAACAATGATAGAGGAATGATGAGGAACGGCTCGATGATAAAGAGGTGATCGACGAAGAGAGAGCGAAGATGATGAGTGAACAAGTCTATCTAGAGGAAGGGAGAGAGAAGAGAGGTAGGATGATTGTATTAAGATAAAGTCAAAAATGTAAGATAGACATGGGTATTTGAGAATTTCATTTTGAAATACAAATTCATTATTAATGAGTGACTATTACTATAGATCAAATTTATCTTTTAGAAGGTAACTAATATAGTGAATTGAGGGAGTATAATATTATTACTGTACAGGCATATGAAATTTATTCTCTTTACATTTTCTTTTCGTCACTTTCTATCTTAAACGAAGTCAATTTATGACTAAATGAAAGCACTTTGGTCTTAGTTTCTTAAGAATTTGAAAACAGTAAGTCTTATGCCGTTAAGTAGATCTCGCTCCTGCATTCAATCTAGTACGCCATATTAGCCCACATCGTCATGATATGAGTCCAGTATGATAATATAATTTACTCCAATATGTTAGAGCTCATAAACTAATAAAAAGCATGATATTACTTTCGGTGTCAACGTTAAAAGAAAAATATTTACACATCCTTCTTTTCCAAGCATTGTCTCAGCGAAAAAAGGCTACTTTTTCCTCTCACATTTAGTGGCTCCTGCATGGCAAAAAGACACGTTAGTGATAGCATATTGATTATGAGGGGTAATAGATAATTTGAGAAGTTAGAAATATATTAAAAATAAATATTATTTAATATTTTTATTTATATATTTATTTAGAAATCTAGATATTTATTTAGATATTTAGTTCTTTAGATTTTGTTTAGAGTTTATTTAGTTTTTATTTAATTACCTAGTTATTTAGATTTTATTCAATTATTTTGAACTGTATTTAGCATTATAAATATGCTTAGCAATTTAAAAATTAGTATATCATAAATAAAATAGACTTTTGAGACTTTTGAGCTTTTTGGAGAGTTTTTTAAGTGCGGCTATTGAAATTAATAGAGAGCAAGATTCTTGTTCTATATTATCTTAATAGAATTACTCTTTTTATTTTTTGTCTATTAGTTCTATGTTCTCTTATTAATATTATAAAGTTAGATTTTAATTTTAATTTCATTGACCAACATGATAACAGCGCCGCTTAATCTCTATAGTCTCCGTTACTAACTTGCCCACAAGGGAGGGGGGTATGACTTATGAGTCAACAGAGTTCTAATGCAATAAGGGATCTCTTCAAAACTTTGCTAAAGCATTCGATCATCCACCCAAACTTTGTGTTCCTTTATTTCTTTCTTTCTTTTTTTGGCTAGAAAAAGGAAAACTTTGTGTGTTCTGGTGATCGACTAATTATAGCAGTTGCCGACGGCTCGATCTTCATGTTGGGGTGTAGTTAGGAAGCAAATATTGCGCCATCCACTGGCACAAGAAATGGAGCTCATGGAAATTGAGAATTCTCATCGTCATGAAGAAGAGAAAATGATCGGAGTCCTTTATGAAGCATCACTTAGGGGATGTGTTTCAACCATGAAGTCACTGATTCAGCAACACCCTCTAGTTCTTCACAGAATCAACTCACGCACCACTTTTATTGACACATCTATGGCACAAATCAGCCTCACTTGGCCATCTCGAATTCACCAAAGTCCTTCTTTCTCACAAACCCAAACTTGCCCTTGAGCTAGACTCCTTCAGAAGCACAGAGCTTCGTATAACTTCTGCAGAAGGCCACATCCACATTGTGGGGGACCTGTTGGCAGCTTATGAGCAAGTATGCTTGGTTTTTGATCAAGAAGGTGGAATTCCATTGCATGGGGATTGTATCATTGTCTCAGTACTTGCACAGGCCTACTTTGGTGCCTTCTTCATGATAACCCCAGACAAACCTTGGAATTCAACTGATAAAATGCTCAATGTATTTCGGTTGTGTAATATCTTAAAATTTTTTTCTTAAATAATTAATTCAATCATGATAGAAAAGATTAAGGTAAATAAATAAATATTCTTATATTAAGTAGAATTTAAACTCCTTAAATTTTATTTCCAAAATTCCAAGCACTTAAAAATAAAAATAATGTGAAAGGCCTATATAATGCATTTAAAAATTGAAACATGATAAACAAAATAAAATTCTTCCCTCCATTCAAAAATATAAGAAATTTTTAATCGAATCTCACCCCTCAATAAAGTAGTTACCTACTTTCAAATTAACCATATCTTTTCTTATTTACCCATATTAAACACTCTATAATAAATATAAAGTCATTATCAATAGAGGTACCTTTGAAAAAAAAAGGCAATGATTATACCTCGAAAAACTAAAAATACCTTACATTTTTTAACATTCAACTCTTCAAAAAATACTTTATATTTTTGAACAAAGAGAGTATAAAATTAAAAATAGTTATATATTTTAAAATTTTATAATCACCTAGCAACTGTACAAATAACACAAAACAACTTTTGTCACTACTCACACACACACAAACGCACGCACGCACGCATTCACAGGCACACAAATAATCTTATGCTGTCAACAAGTGCAAATCACAAATCAATAATTAAAACAGGCAATTCATTAAAAAAAATAAGCCAAACATGTGGCTCTATAATCATTACATTCATATAATTGTTAATAAACAACCTTAGCATTGACAATATAACATTATTAAAATCATAAGATCATTACGTTCATATAATTGTTAATAAAAAAAACTTTAGCATTGATAATATAACATTATTAAAATCACAAAAATTCAAAAGAGATAGTGAATCCACATCACTAGGTCTCAGGAGCCCCTCCATATGCTTATTATGGCTCTTCTCCTAAAAGTTATTAAATACATAATGATATTCAAAAGTTTCAGTAATTAATGTCAATTTATGATAATATATATATATGGACATTTATATGTATGCTCGTTAAGTGCGAAAACAACAATTATATAATTCTAACAAAAATACAAAAGATAATGTAATGCATGATAAACAACCATTCTTATTCTTTCCATTAATCTTGAGTTGCAGCCCTTACTCAGAGCTAGATTACCTGACTAAGGTAGATTAACTTGATCCCTTACAAGTCACCTATTGGCTATTAGGCCTCTAATAAGAATGTACCATGTGGCATAAAAATATAACAACAACAGTAAATCTCCTAATACCTCTCACAAGAGTCAAGCAATTGTATATCAACAATATATAAATGTACAACATTATAATATTTACAATTTTTTTATTTTTAATAATATTACAACTTAACATCCCACTTGGCAAAAACATTTAAAAATACGTGTTCACAATTCCACAATTTTTTCTATAAATATAACAAAATCATTTTTCAACAATAATTAATAAATTTTCTCAATAATCACACAAATAACAATAGGTGACATTAATCACAAATTAAAACATGGTTACCTTCTAGCCTTTCAATAAATTACCCCTTGCAACTTCTCTTCCACAACAAATTTTACCAACAATACAATCTACACATAATATCTTATTTATAAATATTAGTTTAAATTATTGAAACTAATAAAATAATTTTAATAGTAGAGTTAGAGAGTATAACATAATTTTCTGATCCTGTTATTAATACTAATCTATGGTTAGCACCCAATTTAACATTTACAAAAATTCTTTCTAAATTATTATGCCCCAATAACTATATTTAAGTTTCAAAACACTGTTAATATCAAAATTTCATCAATCTATATTTTAAAAATTAGTTCAAAAGTAAATTAAAAATTTAAAAATTATCCTCGAGTCTCAAATCATCCTTTTCATATTCTTAGAAACATTTATTTAGGCTCAATAAACATCTAATAATAAAAAAATTTATCACAACTTCCCAAATTCAATATAAATTCAACTATATAAATCTAGAGTTTAATTCAAAAATTCTCAAATTTGAGTTTTAACCTCAAAAAAATGCTCTACAACATTTATTATACCACTATCAACCTAAACATTTATTTTTAAATCATCATAGTATCAGATTAACTATTCTATAAAAAATTTACTTTGTGTATCAAAATAATACTATCATTAGAGAGCTCTTACTGAATGAGAAAAAATCTACCAAGAGGTTTGAAGAATGGGAGTCATTTTGAATGCTTAAATGATATGAAAAATTAGAACCTCATCTAAAGAAAAGGACGATGCTAGAGATGCATGAGGAGACGCATACCACCTAGAAAATGAGAAATGAGAGGAGGAGTGTGGTTTATATAAAAGAAAATGTGGATCTCACAGCTATTTATTTTATTATTTTTATTTTATTTTTATTGTTATTACATTTTTTTTAATAGTTAAGGGGCCAAATTTAAGGCCATTTTCGGTGGTAGCCAAAATGGACTTTGTCCCCTTCTCTCTCCCTCATTTTTTTTTTAACATCATATATATATCTTAAGTGAGTCGAATAGGCCTAATTTGATTCATAATTAAATACCTAAACATGTGATTAATCCTAAATAACCTCAAATATAAATTTCATTTTTAATTTAAACCTCAAAACAATATATTTTTGGACCCTTTGACTTTTATGCCTTCTCTGTTTCTCTTGCTAAATAAGTAGGCATCAAATTTTTATTTTGGGGATGAAATAATCATAAACTTTAATATAATAATTAATATCAAAACTTATATTACTAAATCTTGAGAAGATTACTCTCTTAAGAGGAACACGTGCAACATTTTAAGAGCAAATTGCCTTCATGTAGTGGAGGTTGTAATCACGCATTGAAGGAAAAAATGCTATGTGGCTGTCCAACTCAAAACGCACTGGAGCCAATAAACAATAACTGAATGGACTATTAAGTTAACCTATGTTTAGGAATTAAAAAAAAAAAGTCAATAGTTATACACAATTGCAATATGGAACTATCATATATCAATATTCTTTCATGACTTGGTGTGTAGTTATGGGAAGCAAATGCGCCATCCATTTGGCCCAGAAATCAGAGCTCATGGAAATGGAAAAATCTCGTCATCATGAAGAGAGGAGAAAATGATCAAGAGTTCTGTATGAAGCATCATACAAAAGGGGTTGCTTCACCTTTAAAGCCGCTTATGGAGAAGGAGAATTCTCATGATCATCCTGACGAAGGAAAAACTGATCAGAGTTATGTATGAAGCATCGTACAAAGGCCGTGTTCCAACTTTGAAGTCGCTCATGGAAATGGAAAATTCTCATCATCATGAAGAAGAGAAAATGATCAGAGTTATGTATGAAGCATCATACAAAGGGTGTGTTCCAACTTTGGGGACACTGATTCAGCAAGACCCTCTAATTCTCCACAGAATTAACTCGCGAACTACTTTCATTGACACGCCTTTGCACATATCAGCCTCACTTGGCCATCTTGAATTCACCAAAGCCCTTCTTGCCCACAAACCTAAACTTGCTCTTGAGCTAGACTCGTTTCGAAGCACAGCCCTCCACATAGCTTCAGCAGAAGGCCACACCCACATCGTGAAGGAACTTTTGGCTGCTTCCGGGGAAGCATGTTTGGTTTTTGATCAAGAAGGTAGAATTCCATTGCACGTAGCAGTAATGAGAGGCAGACTAGAGGTTGTGACAGAGCTTATTAGGGAAAATCCTGAGTCCATGAGGATCCTTCACAAGGGAGAAAGTGTTCTGCACTTATGTGTCACTTATAACCACTTGGAGATCCTCAAAACTTTGGTGGATTCAAGTTATGAGATTTGTGATGAGATACTCAATTGGAGAGACTTGGATGGAAGTAATACCATTCTCCACTTATCTATCATGTTGAAGCAAGTGAGGTAGTTTTCTATTTTTCCCCTTTCTTTTGGTCGTGTAATTACTTCTGCACTACTAGCTAACTAGATCAGTTTCAGATCTAACCAAACTCGAAGAAAGTTCAGTTCTTCATTGATCTCAATCCTTCCTCAGCTAAAAAACAGTAGAGCATATCTAAATTTCTAAATTATTCTATAATCCTTTATTAGTTTCAATATTTTTCTTACAACATGACATATACTTGTTTATTGGTGGTCAGACTGTAAGGTACCTGGTGTCAATTCCTAATATACGACAGGCATCGAACTTGAAGAATGAGATGGGTTTTATAGCCACTGACATTGTTGATCGAATTCCAAAGGACTTGAAGAGTCTCGAAATACAAGTCATACTGATGAAAAATGGTTTCAAAAGTGAAAAGAAAGAAATAGACATAACACCACAAGCACCAAGAACTAGTGATGCTGTTGAGGAAGCAGCGAAGCCTCGTCTGAAGAAGTGTTGGAGATATATAGTGAAGCGAATGGGAAAATGGTTCAAGCATAATGGAGAATGGTTAGAAGAGATGAGAGGGAATCTGAGTCTGGCGGCAACAGTCATCTCAACGATAACCTTTCAATCTGTGATCAACCCTCCAGGCAGCTTCATCCAACAAGGCATATCTATCTCGAACAACACTTCACCCTTAGATTGCTTGGAGATGGAGGGTGGTCGTGCATGTCCTGGCCAAGCCATGCTTGCTTCTACGCTCCCAGATGAGTTTCGCTACTTCATAATCAACAACACGGTTGCTTTCATGGCGTCTCTTGGAGCGACCCTGTTGCTTATAAGTGGACTTCCTCTGAAGAACAAGGTCGTGATGTGGGTGTTATCTATAGGGATGTGTATCACTCTCACAGCACTGGCACGGACCTACTTTAGTGCCTTCGTCATGATAACGCCGGACCAACTCTATGCTTCAATTGGTAGAATATTCAGCATAGCCGATTGGACTTGGCTGGGACTGTTTCTACTAGTTGCCGGATACATCTTATTGGCGTTTCTCATATGGCTAGCCAAGAAATGCATCTGGATAATTAAGCATATTTGGATGCTCATGTGTGGGAGGAACAGATCGTATGGAAATGGTTGCTGCTGTATATAAGATGAAATTGAACTATATATGCATGAGACTTATTTACTGTTTTTTTTTTTTTTTATTTTCCCCTGTCTTGTTGATTGATAACAACACTTGGTAGTGGATCCAGACTTGAGAAATATTTTAAGAGTGTATCATCTTTGTCCTATTTTGAAACTAGTTTATGCATATTCAGTAAATTAAGTTATGATAAAACCAGAGAAAGGCCAGTTCTGGGTGCATTATATATAATTGATGCCAAGATATGTTTGAACGTAGGAATAAGAAATAATGAAGACGGTACATGGGACATGAACTAAATGAGAAAAGGACCACCATCAGCCCACTGTCTATTCCCACAACCAATGGTTCCACTTATTTGTTGAGGTCCTTTACAGTGAAACAAATTCACTTTATTCAATTGTTCAACCACTCCCATATCTCCGCGCGCGCGCGCGTGATAAAGGGAGAGGATGGTGGGGCTGGGGGCGCTTAGACAATGTAGGTTAAAAAGGAGATAACAAAACAAACATTATTTTCTCCAATTTTAAATGTAAAATTAGACAACTAATTTACATATTTTTTAAAAAAACTAATTAAGTTAATTATTTATAAAAAATGTATGTTATTTTTTCTTAAAATACTCCTCTTTTTATTTTGTGTAATAAATAAGGATAATTTAATAAAAATAATAAATGTTAGAGATAAAGAAAATGGAGGTTTTATCTTTAAAATACAAATAAATTTCTCAACCAGCTACTACATTTAAAAATAAGAGGAAGTAATTGATAATTAACAAAGTATGCATCATACTAATCCATTCATTTAAGAGAGTGAGATTTTTTGGGGAAAATAATTAGAATTAAAACTCCCTTTATTCTTTTTATTTTAAAAGTTGTTTAACTAATTTTCAAATATAACGTTTAGAATTCATTTATTTAAAATTTTTTGTTTAGGCAGCTTAAAAAAATTTTAAATAAAAAAGAGAGATGACTTAATATTCAAAATGAAAATTCCAAAATGTGAGTTTACCTATATTTTTTAATCGACAAGAGATAAAAATATATGAAACTCATGGAGGCATTAATAATAAAAACATGAAAAAAAAAATTAAAATGTCATTTTAAATGATTAGAAAATGTAATAACAGATGGGTTTGGATCCCTAAAATTTTGTTTTTCTAAATGAGAAATTTGATTTAAATTCAAATCCCAATTCTTATTAATAAAAAAATAGGATTATAGTTTGAAAATGACAATTAGGGATTCCTTTTGGCCATTAGTTTCAATTAGGGACTATTAATTATTAAAATCTCAATAATGGACTGTAGTTCTTACTTAGAACTAAAAAAATGTGAATAATCTAAAACGTCCCTAAAAATAAATCAAAATAGGCATGTTTTTGTAACGTTCACCTCCACATTGCCAAACTGTACCCCACTTTGCACAAATAACAATAATTAAGGGTCTTAAACTCCTAAATTACTTCAAGTTACAAATATTAAAAACACATAAATTAATTATTTTAAAAATTAGTTGGAATCCCAAAAACCTTTAAAAAACAAGTTAAATCACCAAAATACATGTATTTATACACAACGGAAGCGTTTAGAAATATACAAATATCATATAATAGAAAATTAGGACAAAATAATCATTTTCATCCAAAAAGGACAATATTCCATGGTATATGCCACATTCAATGTGGTGTGTGGTATAGAGAACAAATCCATGTCTCTTTGTTATGCGTTGTGGCATGTTCACCATGTGCTGTAATACATATGATAGATTTTGCTGTTATGATAGCTCATTTAATATGAACTTTTGATATGTACCATTTTTATATACGATGTCTGATTTGGATGATTCAAGCCCCCACATGAAGCTTTTTTATAATCTAACTAATGATAGAAGTTTTATCTTAATTTAATATTTTATTTGAAAATTAGACGCCTGGATGCGAAATGATCATCTATTGTCATATTTCCACATCTAAGGGTCCCAGATTAAAACCTTATGTCATTAGCTACCATTAGGGTCTTGACCATATGTAATGGAACATTTTTCACTTGATTGAATAGTTATATCCAAAAAAACACAACCATATTCAAATTTGGCCATTCAAATGGCCTTTTTCACTTCAGAATAGTGTTGTTTTCATACTTACACATATATATACTTATGGGCCAAATTTCACGCATCACAAGGTCACAAAACACATAATCTTTCACTTGTACTAATATTCAACCCTCTATATCACATTTTTACATCTCAAAGCTAAGATACTCACACGCTCATATAAGTGCAACAAAAATACATGCATGCATTCCTACAGCAATTTATAAACATTGGCGTATACATAATTTTACAAATTCATTACACAATTCCAAATAAGCAATTGTAGTAGTTCCACTACCCTTAGCTTAGGTCTTTCCCTTTACTACTATGAGCATTGGAACTTGTAAAATAGTAACCATGAAATGAGACAAAATCCCAATAACTAAAATAATCCAAATCCATCTATTAATAAGTAAAACTATACACAAGTAAATAAAAAATTATTATTTTTAGTCACACACACACACACCCATGTTCATAAATAATCATAATTGCATGCACGATTATCTTGTCCAACTAAACCTCTATATCCATCTCGATTAAATTTATATGCTCCATTAGATGAATTTTGTATAAACTGATCCGAGCTTCCCTCCATGGTAAAACTACTTGGCAAAAGTTATTCTATCTCATTTTCAGACTATAGATTCCCTTATCATACGCAATTGGGGTGTTGTTACTCCAACGTCGAATCACATAGATACTAAGGAGAAAAATCTTTAACACCGTACCTGTTTAGGCACTAAGGAGATAAATTCTCTAACATTGCACCCCTTCAGGAACTAAGGAGAGTATATCAATAATGCCATATGTACTTTCACACTACTCTACCTAGGGTGAACTTCCACCCTCTATCATGATCATGTGTTTTTATATACATATAAATATAATTACTATATTTTATTTCTATTTACAATTCATTTCTAATTTGACTTTAACACTACTAAAATAGTAATTTTGGGTTATATTTCAAAACTATTTTCCACTTTTATCAATTTCAAATCATGCAATTATAAATCACCTCATGCCATATTATATCTATTGAAAAACAACTTGTGAACAATTTAACAAGCTAATAGATAGAATGAATTATTTGGTAACCTCAACTCTTTTATTTCTATAAAGGTTACCCATGGTACTCTTTATACTTTTGCTATCAACTACTCAAAATAACTAGTGAGTCACATCAATCTACATAATTTAACACTATATGTCAATTAAAAATTGACCATAAGTACTTATTATCACAATTAAACTAAATTAGATTTCTAATTCCTTTCATTAAATAACCTTAAGTCCTATTCACCTCTCATAAACCTTTTATAATTTCTATTAGCTTCCATACAATCCACACAATATTTTTCACACTTTTAAACTTCTCAATTTAGCCTAAATTGAGCCTATAACTTTAAAGCTCAACTATTAATCACCAAACCAATTACAAATTTATAGTTTAACTCTTAATAACCCTTTAACTGCTAGTGAGTCAAAAAATAATCCTCATAACTATCTAATTCAATTTCTCCATATCTCAAACTAAAAGAAATTAGAATAGAATAGGAGAGCAGGAGATACGAAACTTATTCGATAAATAATAAGTTAAAACTAACTCTCAAGTGACCAAAGTTGCATGCCCTAGTAGAGATCACTCCTTCCTCCTCCTCTTTCACGTTCTTTTCCCTTTTCCTTTTAGAAACCATAAGCTGCTCTTTTTATAAAAAGTCAAATTTTGACCTATATGCTGTACTGCATCATGCATATATTGCGATGCATCGCACAGTAATAGAATTCTCATTGTAATGCACAAATTCACTCTGGATTGCAATTCTTCCATTCGATTTTGATCATGCAATTGTCTAACAAATCAAAATGTCAATTTACCATCCAAACTACTATTAACTTAATTAATCTACTAATTTACTAATCTATCCTTAATTAGTATTTAATTTTCAAATAAGAATTTAGAATATTACATTGCCCTAATGCCTTTGTTCCCTTTTTTACTCTCTAACATGCTTCTTTTGTTTTAATCATCATCATAGTTACCAACGATTCTTGAAGATTGTTTGGCATTCGTCATTGCACTGCACAGATGTTGTTGCTCCATTCAGACATCGTCCTTCCTTTAATGTTAGTTAATCCACTTGTTATTGCTTTATACTGCTCTACTCTTCATATCTAGGTAACGTTCTCAACTTTTGTTTTCCCTTTTCCTTTTTTCAACCTTTTATTTTGTTGTAATATTCTAGAAAGTAATGTGTGCTTTTGAGGCAAAGATTAGGGAAGCATAATGGTTTTGGGTCTTGGATACTGATCAATATGAGGGAATTATGACCCTTACCATCAGTGATGAATCTATAAGGGGGTCAACAGCGGTTGTGGTCCCCCATGCTTCAAAATTTTTTTAAAAAAATAGGTATAATTTTGTTTGAGAAAAAAGTAAAAATTAATGTTAGCCCTATATATTTGATAAAATTTTAGTTATGGCCCCCCATACTATGGTTTCTGGATTCGTCCCTACTCACCATCATCATCAAGCTATTGTTAATATCTTTGTCTACAAAATGATAGATAGACTCATCTTTTTTTAGTCAAATTTTTAGTTATATTTTCAATAGTATGACTATAGTATGTCAGTAGTGATTTAAGGAATCAAATTTGATATAAGGTGAATTCAATAGTTTTATCATGTGAATTCATTAGTGATGTTAGATATATTCAGTAGTATTTTTTTTTTACCTATGTTCTTTCCATGTGTAGGAGAATGTCTAAGAGATTTAGTAAAACTTACATGTGAAATTTCATAAAGACTCCTTAAGCTCCAAGTAAAAGATAACAAGAAAATAGTTGAAAAAGATGAGGATGAAGACTTGAAGAGCAACATGAGGAAGAGTTAAAACATGATGACAAAGATGAAAAGGATGCATATTTAGAAACAAAAAATGATGAAAAAGAAGAGGAAGGAGAATCGTAAGATGAAAAAGAAGAAGAGAAGAAGATGAAAAAGGAAGAACAGTACGGAGAATAAGGAGAAGATGAAAAAGAAGAACAA